GATTGAGAGGTGAGCGAACGCCGGTATGTGTTCGCTCACCTCCCGATCTACTGAGCCGACCTGTGACAGTCTCATTGTCACAGGTCGGCTAGAACTATGAGGTGAGTGAAAAGCACCCCCCTCATAGTTCTCCTTTTAATATTCAAGTTTGAGGTTTATTAACATTTTGGATTGACCGACAGCACTGTAGTTGTTCATTAGTGCAATGAATCCTCAAAAATACAACTTGCCTAATATTTGTTGTGCACGCAGTGAACTCTTAAGGCATCAGCATACCAAGACATTTTGGACAATTTCATGCTCCCAACTTTGTGGGAGGAGTTTGGGGATGGCCCCTTCCTGTTCCAACATGACTGCGCACCAGTGCACAAAGCAAGTTCCATAAAGACATGGATGGGGGAGTTTGGGGTGGAGGAACGTGACTGGCCGCACAGAGTCCTGACCTCAACCCCATAGAACACCTTTGGTATGAATTAGAGCGGAGACTGCGAGCCCGGCCTTCTCCTCCAACATCAGTACCTGGCCTCACAAATGGTCCAACATTCCCATAGACACACTCCTAAACCTTGTGGACGCCTTCCCAGAAGAGGCGGAGCTGTTATAGCGGCAAAGGGCGGAGCCAACCCGATACTGAACCCTACGGACTAAGACCAGGATGCCATTAAAGTTCATGCCCGTGTAAAGGCCGGCGTCCCAATATTTTCGCAATATAGTGTATATGTATATACAAGCATGTTCTGTTTCCCATCTGCGGATCTTGCAAACCACGGAAAGGTCTGGACACGTTGCAGGGCCCCGTGGAGTTGCGTTGCTGGTCGATTTCGCAATGCGAATCTTTGCAGGTTGTTGATATCAATTCAGGAAGGAAAAGCCTGTTGGAAAGAGGATCCTCTCGTGTGATTTATTCCACCCGTCCAGTTCCTGAGTATTCCCTTCTAATCTGACATGACAATTCATCAGCTCCTTCCTGTTTACGCTCTGGCATTACACGGGGGCCAAGCAGGTTCAGGAACACTTTGAAAGTCAGAATTCGGGGGCCCCGCTCCGCGCCAGAGATTTTGTTATGTCTGGAGGCGACGGCAGCCATTATTCTGCGATCGCCGGAGGCCTGGCTTTATAAAGGCATTCGAAGTGATCATAAAAGTATCCGGCGGTTAATAAACGGAGTCCCAGACAAGGTCTCCGTGCTGAGCAGCCGCGTCAGATGGAGATTCTGTCATCGGAGCAATGCCCAAAATAACCAAAACCTCCCGCAAATGCAGCTCACTGCTCAATGAAAAGCACAAAAGAGGATCAGAAGAGAATTTAAAGGAGAACTATGGGGTCAGGGCTGTTCCCCATAGTTCTCCTTAGGGTAACGGGAGGACACAAACTAGCGCCCTCCCGTCACCCAAAGCTCAGTATACCGCGAGCTGTAGCGGTATACTGAGACGCCGCAGCTGAAGCGGATCCCGACAATTATGCCGGGATCCGCCCAGCTGTGTGACTGACAGCTGGCTCTGCCTATCTAGAGGCAGAGCCAGCTGTACCCGCTCCTCCCCCATCCGTTCCGCCAGTCAGCGCTGGCAGATGGGAGCGGGGAGGGGGGAATCTAGCCCCTCCCCCTGTCACGGCAGAGAGCAGTGACAGGATCGAGAGGTGAGCGAACACCGGTATGTGTTCGCTCACCTCCCGATCTACTGAGCCGACCTGTGACAGTCTCATTGTCACAGGTCGGCTAGAACTATGAGGTGAGTGAAAAGCACCCCCCCCCTCATAGTTCTCCTTTAAAGGGAAATATAGTCAGCAAGACGCCGGCGGCGCTGGTAATGGAGGACAGTTAGTCCATTCTCAGTGAATAGGTATAGTAGTATAACTAAACCATAGACATGTTGGACCCAAAGCAGGAGGGAGAAGATCTGGAATTCGAGTATTAGAGGCGGCTCTCCATCAGCCGGGATATCTTTGGGGTTCCCCAGAGTCTAGACCAGGGGTGGGCAACTTCAGCCCTCCAGCTGTGCTTTAACTACAAATGCCTCTGCGAGTCATGCCTGTAACAGTCAGTCTTGCAATGCCTCATGGGACTTGTAGTTCCACAACAGCTGGAGGGCCGGTGTTGCTCACCCCTGATCTAGAGAATGTGAGAATGAAAAGGGGGAGAGCACCACAGATATAATGTGAGTCCAGGAAATCTGTATTGTGCATGAAAATTCCAACGCGTTTCAGGGGCTTAGTGCTCCCCCATCATCAGGGCTTAGATTCTGACAGTAAATAGGAAGAAAACCAGATGACAGATTGTATAATAATAGGATACAATGATGTTATTTCATTTAGCCCTTTCCTCCCCAGCTTGATGCTCCCTGGCCCGTCCCGACCCTTTCATTCATTGGATGTCAGTTCTGTTTCAATCATGGAGGGTCAGCATCACATGTGGGCATTACCTAGGCAGGTGCTCTGCATGCAAAGACAGCCTGCCTAGGAACACCCACTCCTCCAGACTGACATCCGCCCATCAAAGCAATTTAAAATGTGCATAACTCCTCCCAAGAGCCAGCCCACTGCTCGTATCGGGGCTGAGGGCTCCAGCATCATCTAGCGCTTTTCTCCCTTGCCGCCCCTTTCATTCATTGGATTTCAATTTCTTTCCACCATGGAGGCTCAGCGTCACATGTGGGCGGTGTGCATGCAAAAACGGCCTGCCTAGGAATGCCCACTCCTCCAGACTGACATCCGCCCATCAAAGCAATTTAAAATTTGCATAACTCCTCCCAAGAGCCAGCCCACTGCTCGTATCGGGGCTGAGGGCTCCAGCATCATCTAGCGCTTTTCTCCCTTGCCGCCCCTTTCATTCATTGGATTTCAATTTCTTTCCACCATGGAGGCTCAGCGTCACATGAGGGCGGTCTGCATGCAAAAACAGCCTGCCTAGGAATGCCCGCTCCTCCAGACTGACATCCGCCTATTTAAGGCCGTAACACTGCATGCGAAGCCGTGCAGATCGAAGCAAAGCTCTCCGACACGGAGCTTCGCGTGCAGTGTGTGAGCTGAGTGCAGTCAGATGATTGACTGCACCTTCAGCCAATCGGCTCGTCTGTAACAACCGGCCAGACGTCGCATCCCGTCGCGCCGGTTGATACGCGCGAGCCGATTGGCTGAAGTTGAAATTGTTCATCTCGGCACGCTCAGCTCTGCGAGCTCTCGCAAGCTGAGGTGCCCAGAAGAAAGTGACATGACACACTGCTCGCAAAGGCTTCGCGTGCAGTGTGTCACGGCCTTAAGGGATTTTGATATTTGCATAACTCCTCCCACCAGCCAGCCCACTGCTTGCATCAGAAGAGAAGTACTGTGGCCGAAGGCTGTGATGTTTTCATTAAAGGAGAACTATGGGGTCAGGGCTTTTCCCCATAGTTCTCCTTAGGGTAACGGGAGGACACAAACTAGGATCCTCCCGTCACCCTAAGCTCAGTATACCGCGAGCTACAGTTCGCGTTATACTTAGACGCCGCAGCTGAAGCGGATCCCGACAATTATGTCTGGATCCGCCCAGCTGCGTGACTGACAGCTGGCTCTGCCTATCTAGAGGCAGAGCCAGCTGTACCAGCCCCCTCCCCCGTCCGTTCCGCCAGTCAGCGCTGGTGGATCGGAGCGGGGAGGGGGGAATCCAGCCCCTCCCCTGTCACGGCAGAGAGCTGTGACAGGATCGAAAAGTGAGCGAACGCCGGTATGTGTTCGCTCACCTCCCGATCTACTGAGCCGACCTGTGACAGTCTCATTGTCACAGGTCGGCTAGAACTATGAGGAGAGTGAAAAGCACTCGCCTCATAGTTCTCCTTTAAGCTATGTACAGCACTTTGCCGGCCCCCCCACACCAGCCGTGATCTGCCTGCATTGCATAGGACGTATTATAGTGATGTCATCACTGGCTCTCTGTGCTTCCCAATGCAATGTAAGCAGAAGATGGAATATGACACGTCTACGATGGTGACATCAGCATTGCCAATGCAGCAAGTAGCACCTACCTCTCTCAGCTTGGTCAGCTTCTGCAGTCGGACGGGCTGGATGTGGAAATCTTTCAGCCCTGGTAACTTGGGCAGGTTGTTGTTGCTTTTATCATGAAAGGAAAACCAATCTTTGTCCGGTAAATCCAAACTAGATTTTGTTTTCTGCTCCGGATCCATGCTGTCCCAAGACAGGGCCCTCAGGAGCGGAGGTCGGGGCCCGGCTGTCACATGCTCTAGTCTTGATATGAACTTGGAGTCCGCTGCAGCTGAGCTTGACCCGGGGACCAGGAACCCCACCCCGGTGACCCCCGAGGGCTGCGCCTGGCTCCCTTGGGGCACATCGTTGTCTCTGGGTTTTTTAAGGATGGATTTGGAGGACTCGCGGTCGGGGCTGTTCAGGGGTTTGCAGGGTGAGGGCTTACTGACGTCCGGCGTCCCGGCTTTGTATGTCTTCGTCACGTGTTTAAGGGGGTCGAAGTTTTCCTTCTGCTCGGAAAGGGTCTCTTTGGAGGCTACTAAGGTGTGGGGGCGAGGGGTCAGCCTGCCCTGGGAGATCTTCCTCTGCTCGTGCGCTGAGGTTTTTGTGGCATTCTGCGAAAAACAAAAATATTCTTCATGAGACACAGCAAGGCAATTCAGGACAACCACAGCAAGACACATTCAGGGCAAGCACAGCAAGACACATTCAGGACGAGCACAGCAAGACACATTCAGGGCAAGCACAGCAAGACACATACAGGACAAGCACAGCAAAACACATTCAGGATAAGCACAGCAAAACACATTCAGGACAAGCACAGCAAGACACATTCAGGACAAGCACAGCAAGACACATTCAGGACAAGCACAGCAAAACACATTCAGGACTAGCACAGCAAGACACATTCAGGACTAGCACAGCAAGACACAATCAGGACATTTCATGACAAGCACAGCAAACAGAGCCAGACTGAGGTCATTGCCTATAATCTGCTTCAAATGGAAGAGAAGTGATGTCATTCCTCCAATATATTACAGGTACACTTTATCATAGACCCAGTGATGTCGTCGCTGGCTCTCTGTGCTTCTTTATGCAATGCAGGCAGATCATGGCCGGTGGGAGGGGCCGGAAGGGCATAAAAAGCTTCCTGAAAAAAATTACAGCACCCTGCTTCAGTACTGCTCTCAGGGGCTGAGATGCAAGCAGTGGGCGGGATTTTGGGAGGAGTTATGTAAATATCAAAATGCGTCGATGGGTGGGTGTCAGTCTGGGCATTCCTAGGCGGATTGCATTTGCTGATCTTCCATGATTGAAAGGCCTGACATCCAACGAATGAAAGGGGCAAGCCACGGACAGTCAGGCTGGTGAGGAAAGGGCTAGATCAGGGGTGGCCAAAGCCGGCCCCCCGGCTGGGCTTCAACTACAAATCCCACCATGCATCTGCCTCTGGGGGTCATGCCTGTGGCTGTTAAGAGTCTTGCAATGCCTCATGGGACAACAGCTGGAGGGCTGGAGCTTGCCCACCCCTGGTCTAGATGATGACTTGCTGCAGCTTCTAACGCACATTGTGAGAAGCTTCCAGTGTGCAGGAAGAGGAGAGGAGCCGGTACAACTGTTCAAGACTGAAGGGAAAGACGGAGGTCAGATAGAAGGCTGAAGGGGAGGACGGAGGTCAGATAGAAGACTGAAGGGAAGGACAGAGGTCAGATAGAAGACTGAAGGGAAGGACAGAGGTCAGATAGAAGACTGAAGGGAAGGACAGAGGTCAGATAGAAGACTGAAGGGAAGGACAGAGGTCAGATAGAAGACTGAAGGGAAGGACAGAGGTCAGATAGAAGACTGAAGGGAAGGACAGAGGTCAGATAGAAGACTGAAGGGAAGGACAGAGGTCAGATAGAAGACTGAAGGGAAGGACAGAGGTCAGATAGAAGACTGAAGGGAAGGACAGAGGTCAGATAGAAGACTGAAGGGAAGGACAGAGGTCAGATAGAAGACTGAAGGGAAGGCCGGAGGTCAGATAGCAGACTGAAGGGAAGGATGGAGGTCAGATAGCAGATTTAAGGGAAGGACAGAGGTCAGATAGAAGACTGAAGGGAAGGACAGAGGTCAGATAGAAGACCGGAGAGAAGGCCGGAACTCAGATGAACTATACATTTTTTTAAAATCATCTGGATGTTGGGGTCACCCTGTGCGAGAACGTTCCTGCACACTGAGTGCGGTGTCTCTAAGCAATAATGAAGCCACGTTCTGGGCTCATTTATAATATACAGATATTGAATTCTGGATTCCGGGGGCGATGGCCGGGCCAATCAGAACAAATCCATTCTAATGTACTGCAGAGTTCATCTTCTAGCATGCGGTTCAGCTCCAGCGCAGTGCGCCCTCCGGTGGTAGTTTAACATTACTGCTATGTATACACTGACAGTTAGGAATGTAAAGCTCAGTTGAAGCTCCAAATGTATTACTTGCTATGCAGCCGGATTGTATAACATAGTTACATTTGGAGCTTCAAGAAGAACTCAAGGATGCATTCCATGTAACCCCTCTAGTGGGGCTACACCAGCACTACATTGTTTTTTTGCTCCGATACCTTCCCCGATACTGGCACTTCCGGTCAGAGGGAGATTTCCTCTGACCGGCAGTGCCGCAAGGAAACATGGAGTTGACCAATCAGGAAGCGGGTAATGACTTGCCTCCAGGCCTCCTAATTGGTCGGGAAGCCGACTCGATGATGATTGGCGGGGAAGCCAATCCCAGCCAATCAGCATGGAACCGGCCAAAAAGCATACGGCCAGCTTTCCGGGCAATGAAAAAGCAGAGCGGTGTGTAATGACTTGCCGCCGAGCTTCCTGAATGCCTGGTAAGCCGGATCCAGGCTAGCGGAAGTACCGATATTGGCGAGTACCGAAATATAAATATCTTATAAATTACTTAATACAGAAAAAAAGGTATCGTGCATCCCTAATATGTATATTTATTAAATTCTTTTAAATATCCCTGTTTAATCTCACCTGCATTATGGCTGCAGCTGAAGGGAACACGCTGGGATACGGATCGGGTCCTGTGTTAAAAAAGACAACACAATAATTGGCGATGTTATTGATTTAAATAAAAATGCATTTAATCGGATATCCAGCCAAAAATAACAAGATGAAATAATCGCCCATTAAAAAAGGTCAGATAGAAGACTGAAGGGAAGGACGGAGGTCAGATAGAAGACTAAAGGGAAGGACGGAGGTCAGATAGAAGACTAAAGGGAAGGACGGAGGTCAGATAGAAGACTGAAGGGAAGGACGGAGGTCAGATAGAAGACTGAAGGGAAGGACAGAGGTGAGATAGAAGACTGAAGGGAAGGACGGAGGTCAGATAGAAGACTGAAGGGAAGGACGGAGGTCAGATAGAAGACTGAAGGGAAGTCCAGATATGAGACTGAAGGGGAGGACGGAGGTCAGATAGAAGACTGAAGGCAAAGCCGGAGTTCGGCTTCAACTTGGTAATTCTTTATCGCTACATTGTTCTTTTTTTTTCCAAATAACTGAGCGATTTGTCCGGACAGCTGATATACCTAATATAGTCACAAGCAAGTTGCCGTTTCCCTGGATGCCGAAATGCCAAAGCAACGGAAAAATAACCCCTGTGTGGCTGGCAGCGGTTGGAGGGGAGAGGAATCCTGACAAATATGCCGCCTCTCATTTATCTCCACTATTATTAGTCTGCAGTTTCTGCACATTAATCCGCCATAAAGGTCTCATAATTCACTTGGCAACCACAAAAATATTGAGTGCAGCGGGGAGCAAGCAAGGATCAGCGGGGAGCAAGCAAAGATCGCAGATTTGGATTTGCATCAATCAACCTTCAGCCCTCCAGCCGTTCACCACGTCTGCTCGTGCTTTAAGTTTTAGGATCTCCTTGTGAAGTTGAAGTTGCTCTCCTATGAAAAACTGACAATGTACAACAGGGGCTGGCAAGCTTCAGACCTCCAGCTGTGGTGAAACTACAAATCCCATGAGGAGGAAAACTCTGACAGCCACAGGCATGGCTTGCAGAGACAGAGGCATGATGGCATTTGTAGCTTCACCACAGCTGGAGGGCCGAAGTTTGGCTACCCCTGATCTGCATCCTGAAGTGGTGATACCAAGATCTTGGCTGCTGATGCTGCTGCAGCCATGATGTTGGTATTTTTTGCTTGAGTGATCTGGGTGGCGGCTGTGCAGCCACCTAAATCTCTTGTAGCAGCCTGCATGTGCTCCACACCCACCCCGTCATGGTTTTTGGGGTCTTCTGCTCCTCCGGGGGGCATGGTACCACGTCAAACAGTTTCATGATGGATAGTAGGAGCAGACCCAGGAACATCCCTTCCCCGATCTGCTCTGTGTTGAATGAAGCAGGGAGCGCTGAGCTCTCGGCGCTTCCTGCTTCAGAGCTGTCACAAGCCGGCTGAAAGGCGATCAAGCATAGGAATGTCTTGGAGGGCAGAAGAGACATCAGGGTTCTAATAGACCCTTGATGTCTCCAAAGAGACAGCCTGTCACCTCCAAACGCTCCTTTGTGATAGCAATAAAGTTAAGTGAAAAAAAATAAAATAAAAAAGTGTTAAAAAGCTTACTAGTACACACAAGAGTGGCTCCAAAGGACTCTACAAGGGAAAGGAGCCGCCCTTAGGCCCTGTTCACACCAGGGCAGTTCAGCCACGGGGATTTGGCCGCGGTGAACCGCCGACATGAACGATCCCCTACATTGCTATGGGGACCATTCATGCGACCCTATGTATCTTTCTTTGTATTGCTGTATCCACAAAGAGCGGTTTAGAAAGTTCATTACAATTAAATAAAGTTTGGAAAGAAAACTAAAAACACACAAAGAAAAGTAGATGCAGAAAAAGCACAAAAATATCGAAGAGGAGTAAATAGAAGACCGCACACAGGACTGACTGAGATGTCTCACTATGAAAGTTCAGACTGTATTCCATCAGACCTACCTGGAGGCGGGGGGAAGGTGAAAGAATTACTCCGCGAGGAGACCGGTGACACTTTGGGGCTCAAGGACGGAGAAGAGACTGCTAAGAAAAGAAAATAATGACAATAATACAATACAAATATTATTAGAATAATCATGAGAAGGGAGAAGAAGAAAGAATAAAAAAGGGAAAAGAAGGGAGAAAAAGGAAGAAGAAGGGAGAAGAAGAAAGAAGAAGAAGGGAGAAGAAGAAAGAAGAAGAAGGGAGAAGAAGAAAGAAGAAGAAGGGAGAAGAAGAAAGAAGAAGGGAGAAGAAGAAAGAAGAAGAAGGGAGAAGAAGAAAGAAGAAGAAGGGAGAAGAAGAAAGAAGAAGGGAGAAGAAGAAAGAAGAAGGGAGAAGAAGAAAGAAGAAGGGAGAAGAAGAAAGAAGAAGGGAGAAGAAGAAAGAAGAAGGGAGAAGAAGAAAGAAGAAGGGAGAAGAAGAAAGAAGAAGGGAGAAGAAGAAAGAAGAAGGGAGAAGAAGAAAGAAGAAGGGAGAAGAAGAAAGAAGAAGGGAGAAGAAGAAAGAAGAAGGGAGAAGAAGAAAGAAGAAGGGAGAAGAAGAAAGAAGAAGGGAGAAGAAGAAGGAAGAAGAAGGGAGAAGAAGAAAGAAGAAGAAGGGAGAAGAAGAAAGAAGAAGAAGGGAGAAGAAGAAAGAAGAAGGGAGAAGAAGAAAGAAGAAGAAGGGAGAAGAAGAAAGAAGAAGAAGGGAGAAGAAGAAAGAAGAAGGGAGAAGAAGAAAGAAGAAGAAGGGAGAAGAAGAAAGAAGAAGAAGGGAGAAGAAGAAAGAAGAAGGGAGAAGAAGAAAGAAGAAGAAGGGAGAAGAAGAAAGAAGAAGAAGGGAGAAGAAGAAAGAAGAAGGGAGAAGAAGAAAGAAGAAGAAGGGAGAAGAAGAAAGAAGAATAAGGGAGAAGAAGAAAGAAGAAGGGAGAAGAAGAAAGAAGAAGGGAGAAGAAGAAAGAAGAAGGGAGAAGAAGAAAGAAGAAGGGAGAAGAAGAAAGAAGAAGGGAGAAGAAGAAAGAAGAAGGGAGAAGAAGAAAGAAGAAGGAAGAAGAAGAAAGAAGTAGAAAGAAGAAGGGAGAAAAGGGAAGAAGTAGAAAGAAGAAAGAAGAAGAGGGAGGAAGTAGAAAGAAGAAGGAAGAAGAAAGAAGTAGAAAGAAGAAGGAAGAAGTAGAAAGAAGAAGGGAGAAAAATGGAAGAAGTAGAAAGAAGAAAGAAGAAGAAGAAAGAAGTAGAAAGAAGAAGGAAGAAGTAGAAAGAAGTAGAAAGAAGGAAGAAGTAGAAAGAAGAAGGGAGAAGAGGGAAGAAGTAGAAAGAAGAAGGGAGAAGAGGGAAGAAGTAGAAAGAAGAGGGAATAAGAAGGGAGAAGAAGGGAGGAGGTGAAGAAAGAAAAGCGAAAAAGAAGAAGCACTCCCCTCTTCACAGTGCTGCAATCAGAAAGCTGCTCAGGAATAATGAATGCTGTTGATTGGAGCAGTGTGCAGGGGGAGTGTCAGCGGGTTAGAGTAAAGTGCACTCTGTGTAAGAGCAGAAGTCCGAGTCTCCAGTGTGCTGCCGCTATAGGGGCACCTTTTACAGTACGAAGCACGCGCACAAATCCCGCCCCCGCTGTGGCCCAGTGTCAAAAGGTATCCCATAGCTGGAGGAGTATGTATTCCGGGGTGTTTGAGCAGAGGTAAAGGGGGGTAGAGGTTGTAGAGTGGGTAAGACTAATAGCAAATACCTGTAGGAGAGTCGGAGAGGCTGCATCGTGATCGCCTCCCTCGCCGCGTCAAAAATTTCTCGCTGACTTTCTTTGCCTCCTCCAGTAGCTCCATGTTCTTCATTTTGTCGTCCTCCGTTATCCTGATGTCGGGTAAACTGCCGTGTACCAGGTCAATCACGTGCCCATTGTTGTCTGAAAGAGAAACCAATGACAGATCTTGCTCGTCGTTGTGGCCCCTCTGACCTTGTGGCTCAAAAAGTATAATTGCTTGCACAGTTCAAAAGAGTGTCGGAAACATATAGGAGACCACATGGGCAAGTCGCTTGCCTAAATCTAATCACTATGGTCCCATGCAATCAGTGGTGTATCCAGGGTATAGTACATATGGCACATGCCCTGGGTGGCACTTGAAGGGGGGGCACAGTTCAGACAGCTGAATGTTTTTTTCTCGCCACCCCTCTTCCGTACACATATCTCCGCATGGCTCTTAGCAACCTGGGACGCTCTGGCCAGCATCCTGCCCATGTAGAAAGAAGAGGGAATAAGAAGGGAGAAGAAGGGAGGAGGTGAAGAAAGAAAAGCGAAAAAGAAGAAGCACTCCCCTCTTCACAGTGCTGCAATCAGAAAGCTGCTCAGGAATAATGAATGCTGTTGATTGGAGCAGTGTGCAGGGGGAGTGTCAGCGGGTTAGAGTAAAGTGCACTCTGTGTAAGAGCAGAAGTCCGAGTCTCCAGTGTGCTGCCGCTATAGGGGCACCTTTTACAGTACGAAGCACGCGCACAAATCCCGCCCCCGCTGTGGCCCAGTGTCAAAAGGTATCCCATAGCTGGAGGAGTATGTATTCCGGGGTGTTTGAGCAGAGGTAAAGGGGGGTAGAGGTTGTAGAGTGGGTAAGACTAATAGCAAATACCTGTAGGAGAGTCGGAGAGGCTGCATCGTGATCGCCTCCCTCGCCGCGTCAAAAATTTCTCGCTGACTTTCTTTGCCTCCTCCAGTAGCTCCATGTTCTTCATTTTGTCGTCCTCCGTTATCCTGATGTCGGGTAAACTGCCGTGTACCAGGTCAATCACGTGCCCATTGTTGTCTGAAAGAGAAACCAATGACAGATCTTGCTCGTCGTTGTGGCCCCTCTGACCTTGTGGCTCAAAAAGTATAATTGCTTGCACAGTTCAAAAGAGTGTCGGAAACATATAGGAGACCACATGGGCAAGTCGCTTGCCTAAATCTAATCACTATGGTCCCATGCAATCAGTGGTGTATCCAGGGTATAGTACATATGGCACATGCCCTGGGTGGCACTTGAAGGGGGGGCACAGTTCAGACAGCTGAATGTTTTTTTCTCGCCACCCCTCTTCCGTACACATATCTCCGCATGGCTCTTAGCAACCTGGGACGCTCTGGCCAGCATCCTGCCCAGCTCCTGGCAACCAGTGACATCACTGGCTGCCAGGAGCTGGGTGGGACGTCACAGGCGCAAGTTGTTGTAAATACGCCCCTGCATGCAATTTGCCATGGCAGATGGTGATTGTCTAAGTATTTTGGGATGCAATACTGGATTATGGCCACTAGATGGCACTAAAGAGCATAGAAAAATAAGATCTTTCCAAAACGCATTTAAAAGAGCATGGCAGCATTGCACTGCATACATTATATTGCGAGTCCAATCAATGTAACCCTTACTTATTAAAGATGACCTAAACACTGGAAGTTGTGCCCCAAAAAAGCAGGCAGGGGCACTAGTTGCCACTGTTGTCTGTGTTCTCACTGCAGCTGATCTTCCCCCAATTATTAGCTTACCATGACTTGTTCTGCAGTGTGTCTGTAGGTGGAGGTGGCCATCTTGGTAGAGGCAGGGCTTTGCTTCCTCATGTCAGAGCCTCCAGCAAGGAGAACAGTGAGCATCACAGCAATGACATCACCAAATCTAACTCCATATATGGTAAGGCCTTAGATCTCACACTGCAGATATATGAGCCTGTAGGGTCAGCAGTGATTAGACAGAATCGCATAGCAGGAGGTCCTCTGTTATTTTTTAGGAGGAATTTTTGACAAAATATACATTTTTCAGGGTACTGTTTGGGCCAGGGGTGGGAAACTCCGACCCTACAGCTGCTGTGGGTCTACAAGTCCCATGAGGCATTGCAAGACTGATAAGTTACAGGACTCCCAGAGGCAGAAGCATGTTGGGTTTTGTAGTTAAAGCACAGCTGAAGGGCCGGAGTTACCCCCTCCCCTGGTTTAGGCACACCTAACATTTCTAGAAGTTCCCTATAGCCAGTGGCGTCACAAGGGGGGTTCGGCCCGCACCTGGGTATCACCATTGCAGGGGTGACACCGAAACGGCTGACAGTCATTTTGGCGTCACCCCTCTAAAAAGTCTGTTACTCGGTCATGGACCGAGAGCCCGACAGTATCAGGAGAGAGGAGGGGACCCGGCGGCATACCTCATCCCGCCGGGTGAACGTCCCCTCCTCTCTCTGCCCGCGTCCATCACCAAGATGGCCACCGGCAGGCATCAATCAGATGGACGCGCATGTGCAATGACGTCATCGCGCATGTGCAAGGCGCCGTCACACCCGGTCTAGAGACCGGATGACACCCGGCCTCGGGACGCCCCCTGCCTATAGCACAGCAAATCTTCACTTTCCGAGTTGAGTTCCACTTTAATAACTGGCTTTATGTCTAATGATTAAGACGTATCATTTCCTGCAGGCATGTAAGACGATGAACAGGATATAAACGGCGCATGTGTAACGCATTGATGGTCTTGCATCTGCCCAAAAATAGTTGAATGCAGCTTGATGTTCTTCCTTGATGTCCTCCACCCTTAATGGCCCATGCTCCTCCACCTTGCCCGTGTCCCGCTCCTCCCTGTTCCATGGACGGGGGAATCTCTGCTGTTAAAACTCGGAGACGTTTTGGAGGCCAGAAAGTGTTCCTGTAAACAGCGCCGAGTGTTTTGCTTCCGCAGCCAAATACTTTCTCCGCTGCCGCTGGTACGTCCTGGCAGGGGATGCGCATTTTTTGGGGGTATTTACCATCAAAGTGGAAAAAAATCGTGCCAGCGCTGCCATCCAAATTTGCGGTGGCCACACGTGCGTCTTGACCACCCAGACCGTGCTTGGGGAATTATCATGGCACCTTAGGCTGGGTGTTCACACCTGGGCGTAACATAGGCGCGTTTTTTCCACACGTTTTTCCCGTTCAGTGAAACGCGCGTTTCACTGGCGGTATGATTTTTTTTTTTTTCCTTTATTATTTTCTCTATTTTTTTTTATTTTAACTTTTAAACTTCCCGCCGGCTCCGCCCCCTGCGACGCGGTCGCTCACAAGGGACGGAACCCTGAAGTCGGCAGCCGTCAGAGGACACAACGGGGATCGCGGACAAGTTAAGTCCTACGCTGTATTACCGAGCGTGACTCGGGGTTACCGCATTGTTAACCCCGATCCACACTTGCGAATACCAATAGAAACGCGCGGAAAAACCTCCTGTACTTGTTTGGGCGTAGGGCGTTTTTCAGCGCGTTTCCACGGGCTGAAATACGCCCAGGTGGCAACCATGCCCATAGGAAATGATGGGATTTCACTGTTTTTAGCGCTTTACAGCGCTTCGATCAGCGCTGTAAAATGCCCAGGTGTGAACCCGGCCTTAAAGTATCAATCTACCCAAAAATGGAAAGTTTACCAAAAAACCTGCCGATTAGTGTACCTGCTGGCTTCCCGCATCTTTCAGGGACTCGCATCTCCCGCCATACTCTTGGTAATGCAAGGCTCCCTTGTATCGTTATCAGCAGGGGGCGGAGCTGGGAACACTCAGAGATATAGATGAGGAACTCAGAAATATTTTTTACACTATATTGCCAAAAGTATTGGGACGCCGGCCTTTACACGCACATGAACTTTAGTGGCATCCCAGTCTTAGTCCGTAGGGTTCAGTATTGAGTTGGCTCCGCCCTTTGTATCTATAACAGCTTTAACTCTTCTGGGACCAGTACCTCGGCCAGCTTGGCAGACGCCGCTCTCCAAGCTCTGCCCACGTCTCCTGTGCGTACAGCGCTCACGTGATCGTTGTCAGTTCTATTTTCCCAGCTGGACACTGATTGGCTGGGAAGCCGGCTTCCCGGCCAATCAGTATCGCACCGGCCAAACAGCACGGAGCCAGCTTCCCGTCTCTACGTTCCCTCGCGGTACTGCCGGTCGGAGGAAATCTCCCTCTGACCAGAAGTTCCAGTTTCGGGAAAGGTATCGGAGCATTTGGCCCAACTACTCGGTATCGGCAATGATACAGATATTAGTATCGGTGCATCCCTAATACAAACGTGTAATACCCCTTTAATTCTTGAAAGGAAGCAGAAGCTACTCACCAACAGAGATCAGGGAACTTGCAGAGGAGGAAGATGACCGGGACTGGCGGCTGGATCGGACGGAGGGACTGTGCGGTCTAAGTGAAAAAGAAGAAGAAGTTTAGATAAGACACATCGCTTCCCTTTGGGTCTGCTGAACCATGGTTGGATACGGCATTTTAAAGCAGAACTTTTTTTAGCTGGTGGAGGGGGGCTCTCTGTGCTTCTCTATGCAATGCAGGCAGATCATTGCTGGTGGGAGAGGGGCCGACTGTACATAACTGTCATAAAACATCACAGCACCCTGCCTCAGTATTCCTCTCTAGAGCCTTCACCTCTAAAGCAAGCAGTGGGCGGGCTCTTGGGAGGAGTTATGCAAATATCAAAATGCCTCGATGGGTGGATGTCAGTCTGAAGGAGGTGGGTGTTCCCAGGCAGGCTTTGTTTTGTTAGTGAACGCCCACATATCATGCTGATCCTCCATGGTTCAAGGAAATGAAATCCAATGAATGAAAGGGGCGGGGCCAGGGACTAGGGGAGGAAAGAGCTAGATAATGCTAGATGGCTCTGACTTGCTGCGGAAAGACTGAAGTGGAGGCCGGAGTTTTGCTTTCACCCTCCCATACTCTGTCCCTCCCCAGAACACTGGAAGAAGATAAATTGTGACCACTTACCGGTTTCTTTCCAGGCAGTTTTTCTCGGCGTTCCCCTCCAGGAAATCGGTGGGCTCCGGAAGAATTATAACGGGAGGGATGCAGGCTCTGCCCCCCATCTCCACCTCCTGAAACAAACCATGGTCTGAATTTTATTTTAAGTTAAGCTTCCCTAACCTACCATTTCCACCATGAGGGGGGGTCCCAACATGGCCGCACACTTGTCAAAGCCTGCAGGACCTGGCCTAACATTTGTTTATATGTGACTTTCATTTTTTTTTTTTTTTTTACACTTAACTTTATTGCAATTACATAGGGGGCTGAGAATCCCCCTATGTGATAGCAAATTCACAGTGACAGGTCCTCTTTATGGAGACATCAGGGGTAAATTCCTCAATGCACTGACACTATTTCACTCAGCCCTATGAATAGGCACTTCCTGGTGTCCCCACTCTCACAGAACTATAACTCAATGTCTGAACTATGTAACATTATCATTGCTTGCTGGAAGCAATGCATGATCAGGGCCGGATTTACTCTCCCTGCCGCCCCAAGGCCAGGTTCCGCGATACGCCACCCCCCCC